CTATTTCTATGATTATCTGTACCGATTTAACATAGTCCTATGAACACTGCTTTGCATTGATCTAAACATGATATCCTACAGATAGGAGTTACGGTTCCATGCAATAACTTCCACCCAAAACACATACCATCATCCACCACAATAGCCTGAAATAAATATGCCGTACTTTATAAACAAATGACAACGAAATGAAAATCTGCCAATTTAAAATGCTACAACCTTTATCTAATATTATATCACAGTACACATACGCATACGCATACGCCTTGCCAAAGCGACAGACTTCGTTATCAAAGTCTTACCCTCAGCTGACACATGTCACCACGCTTCGCTCTTAATCCACTTGGTTTTTGGGACTCGTAGGTGCTTTGTACCCTGCGGGCTTTATTTGACGCGTCAAAATACATACATGGTCGAATATTATACATAACAGTTATGTATAACTCAATCTAAGGACGATAACGAAACGCAAAGGCACCAGGTTTTTTCTTCAAAAAGTGACTTCTTTTCGAAGAAGTCACCATACTGGAACAGTTAATCAACTAGGATAAATACACGCGTTCGTTCTGTACGTTTACCCACATTTGACTACGATGGACGGGACTCAATGGCACTTATGCGGCAGATGCTTTAGAAATGGCTACCGGCATAATTTGATAGGCAGGAGCAGTGCGTCGCGCTAGGTAGCTTCATCGATATGTCTATCTGTTCTACACAATATAGAAGCTTGTTTGCACTTTCTACTAGTACGGACATAAGCAATAATCTGATCAAGCTTCGCTTAAACGACCATGGTTCATCAAAATCGAGGTTTCCTGTTTTAAAAAACTACACGTATACGTGTGCGTGTATAATATAACAGTAGATCCGAGCCAGGCAACGTATCTGGTTCCGCACCCATAGTCGCCGCGATCGGCGCGCCATGGCTAGACGTTCCATCCATCAAAGGTATAGGACGAAACTGATGGATAAAGTAGCAATAATAGAAACGAATGAGAGCAACAACGGCAGAAACAATACCAGGCAGAAATAGGTGGGCAAGATTGATTTCCTTTGCCGCTCCGCCATCGCAGTTATCGATATTTTCGAGTTTGGCCATCATGTCTGTATGTCCATTTGTCGTTCGTGATGAGTTGTACATAAAACTAAAGCAGGACAAAGTGTATAGTTATCCAAAGGATTAACGGAACGCTTCTGCTATAAATCAGTATCGTTGCCACATTCACACTGCCCTTCGCAATGCAGTCCTATTTTAAAGGTTGATTACATGATGATTGAAATCGTACCGGTAAATGTATGTGGCACGGTACAAGTCAACGTAACTTGCACAAATACAGTGAATCTACGAGTATCGTTATAGGGTGAAAAGACCTCCATTGGTGCCATTATGGGCCTTCAAACATTTAAACAAACGTTTATTATGGGACACAATATGAAACTAAGACATGTTAAATTCGGAATTTCCTATTAGGTCGCAAGTCGTTTCTGTAGGCCATAAGACACATGATGCCCATTAAAAATTGGTAGCGTATGGCATGTCGATAAACAAAGGCAGAAAGAAAGTTCGCTTCTCTTGCGAAGCTTATGCGAAGTATGCTCTTGCGAAGTCTATGTGCGCATGCACCTTTTTGACCTTGAACCCATAATGTAGTAATGGCTATGCCTTAAGCAGAAAAAATCAATTTTGTGTAGTAATCGGAAAGGCATTGTATATATTTATAATTATACTATGATCAAATTTAAATTTCATTCAGAACGTACTGGTCTGCCTGATTATATGTGCGTCAGAGGATCAGTATTTGGTAATGCACCCCGCTATGCTTTCTCTGTTCGTGTCGTTTTCGTTATGTACACATATGCGCAGTTTTCTACAAATGGCAGTCACCCATGTGTCGAACACCGTCAGGATTCGTTGCACAACATGGCGATATAGTGTCGCCGTGGGCGATAATCACCATGGCGCCGAAAGTACTGGCATTATCTTATTATTTAGACGTTGTCGGTTTTGGGCGTTGTTTGCGGTACGGTACGACTTGGGTGTGAAAATCTTAATGTTCGTAAATTAGACCCCACATTTTTCGGCATTGCCTAGCAGTGATACAAGTGTCTCGATTAGCTGCTTCGTTCTATATGGCCATGTCACTTCGTTTGCCCGCCCCTCACCCACTCAGTTCTCGTTTATCGACATAGATCAATAAATGAATGTTTAAATTTATTATCGTTAAATAGTAGTTGCGGCTTGTGCTCGAGTAAAAAAAAAAAACGTACAGAGGCAATATGGATGGGCCTTGGCGATTCATTACTGCTTTGGTCTTGTTCCGAATCATCTCCCTTAATTTCAGATCAGAGGGCTGATGCAAAGGTAGCGCAGTGCCAGCTCTACCGCTGCCCGGTCATACTGATCACGTTATCGGCAGCGACGACGACGACAACAAGAAAAGCTTTCGCGGCAAGCGTCTGTTATTTTTTTGTAACACTCGAGAGCACGCACTCAGACATTAGTGCGGCGTCAATTGCCTAGTCAGCTGGCCGGCTCTACTTATTGGGTCATAAGGGTCTCGAGTTCAGCTTGTGCCCCTGCGGAACGAAAGGACAGGCGAGGGCGGGCTCGCTTGCCCGTTTTTCAGCACCATACTTCACATCGTATAGTCAGGGAAGTGATAATTTGTGGCTGAATTGGCAAACTGTTTCTGTTATAGCTGTTGTGAATGGTATCGTCATCGTTGCCAATTAACAAAAGCGTTCTGGCTTCTCTCGGGTACTATAGACCCCGCACTATGACGCGGTGGCAAACGCCAGCTGTACGACGGCGTTCTATAGCTGCAAAACGTCAACATTGAATGCTGCGGTCCTACAATTGATTTCAGCTCAACTTCTACGATTATGCCCTGACCAAGACGGGCAATCGGCCAATCCAAGACTAGCCATAGCGAAACCGTTTCATTGGCGTAGGTAGCAAATGCTCGTGTATAAAAATGTAATGAATTCAACGAATCGTACGTTTACCATTTGTCGCAACCCTTACGAGCGCCATATGAATGGCTCTGGCAACAGGACACCTAAATTGCTGAGAGTTTAAACTGAAACAAATAGGAAATGAAAGGACGAGCACCTTTGCCGAATTTAATCTTGGCGAATGTACCGTACTTTCAACTCTACGGTCTGGTGATGGGAGTGCGTTAAGTTGATTGGCGGCACCAAAAGTCTATCAGTTTGTTTATTGTGATGAGCTTTGCCCTAGCAGTGTTATTAATTGTGCTGAAGATCTATTGCATGACTGCTTTCGGCATTCTGTAATGAAGCGATAGTATAAATCCAGGACTGCAAGGACGCTCTTAATTATACGATTCCCAGTGTGAAAAATGGCCAAGAATTTTCGGTGGCAAATGTTTGTATTTTGAGAAACACGCTTCGATGATCACAACTAGTTAATCTGCATGTCTTCTTCATATAGAGTTTTTTTTACTGATACAGATATTTCGCTGTGCCTCTCGAAAATAACCCATATTTACCGGAGTGAATGAAGTATGTATAACTTGTTTATGAGCGTTCAACGAACGACATTATTAATTATATTAATTAGGAGTTTGCGTCCAATATGTTTATATATGCATGTGTTTCTTACGAAGTGCTCTGTACGGTCTTTTGAAATGGTAACACATGAAAAGCGGGCTTGCCTTTCGCAAAAGTTTATCTAACCCTAGCCCTATTTTGAATTCATGCAAAATTTGCAATAATCACAGTTAGGTTAGTTGCTATTAGGTCATGAACTAAATCAAAGAGCGTCTGTCATTTTCGTCCGTACTATTCTACCTGAATTTGTTATGCTTTGCTGGCCAGTTTACTGCTCGGTTATTCTGTTTCACGCGCACGACTCTGAGGAACGAAGCCATAACGCGGTAGGCGTTCTGCATTTGAAACAAAAATTAGGCCACCTTACCAGGAATCGACCCATTTATTGTGTCTGATGCTATATGACCGACGAAATGGCCATTATTGGTGAGGGTCATGATTTTATTTTCGTTAATTCAAATCAACGATCAGAATTCGTTTAAGTTTATTAATTAGCAGCAATAGCAGGAACTGTTGTAGCTGATGCCAATAACAATGAAGACAGACGCGCGCCCGATCTCTCCGGACGAGAGTAACAATCAAATAGACACCGGCTAGCCTTTATATACGAGCTTTCGTTTATATGAAGGTAGTTGTATTATTGCACGGATACTGAGCGCCGATCGCCGCTGCTCAGCAGAATCAGAGCAGAGTCTACAGAAGCTCTTGTAATAATGATAACAATATACACCACCGATGCTTTCGAGGGAACTGTGTTCCGTAGTCAAGGCTGTCGAAAATGGTAAAGACGAGGACAATGACCAATAGAAATAGCGCCAATTTCTACTAATTATATCGTTATGTATTTTTTACGCGTATTATAAGTAGGCCGATATCACTTTGTAGTCGCTCGCTGCACTGTATTTGACCACGAAACTGGTAGACGAGATCGGTAGCGTGTAGGGACCTTGTCTCATCGTTATGCCTCCGTCCAGCTATTTTATGTGTCCATGTTGACATGGCCGTACCTAGTACCTAATAACTTGCGACAACATATCTTAGGCAAAAGATGAAGACTAATTTAATTTTCGTTCTTTTACGACGTTAAGCATCATTTGAAGAATTTCTATCTTCAAAAATTCATCATCTATAAGGCTATGAAAGATTGCGTTATTTAGAATTGGTAGATGATCCACTCATCGTTGATAGTGGAGGACCGAAAACGTTTTGAGTGTCCCGCAATAAGTTTCCACGTGCATCGGGGTGGCTTTTTTGATTTGGCCTTAGCACGCATGACCTACTCGTGCACATGGTCGGTCATCGCATCGCGTGACTCACCTAGCAAGAAGTGCAAACGGTACATCATGCAAAATGATAAAGTAACGTACTAGTTGTGGTTTTCACATACCGTAGATAAATGCAAGCCCCACTGATTTCGAGGGTTCAAAATCCACAAGTCTCGGATGCCGATTCTAGTGATCCTTTCGAAAACAAGTAGCACATTGGCCAGCTGTCCCGTAACTATACTTTTATTTGCACAATGCTACATGTCTTTCCACTAGCGAACATCAAACAAACCTTTGTTTCTACAACAACAAATAGGTGAACCGAGTTCCAGTGGTAACGTGATGTTTGCAAAGGCGCCCAAGTAGAAGTTTTAGCAAAGAGAAAACAAAGCTTAAATTGTGATGTCGGCAGAGTCGACTTTTCGGCCGCAAATCAAAAGGTTTATTATCCTAGCTAGTATCGTCTTGCTCATCGGGATAGCCAATGGACTGTTTGAATATCCATCTCGAAAAAGCGAGCCTGCAGACGGAATCGCCTGTGAGCGATTAACCAGATTTAATCAAACGAAGATCCTCTGTTATACCCGCACTAAGACTGAAAAATTGGAAAAGAGACGAGTACGCCAAGAAAAAAATAAGGACGCTAGAGTGTGTACAAAAATATTTAATATGGTTCAAAGGTAAGCCTTAAAAACTTAAGTGTAGTTTGTCACGAGCGATGCATAGGTCGAGTAATATCTGCATCTCAAAAGATACACGGATCACAATGTAGATGTTTCCTGAAGTATATTCTATCCGGAAAAGTTAGAAAGGCTACCTTTCGTCATGCGAATAGGTAATGTCAGTCAAGAATAAAAACCTTCATCATGGTTAAATGAATATTTTTTCTCGTTCCTAATTGAACCTAACATAGGCTACGGGAATTTGAAGAAGGCAATTTTCGTTACTGCGATCCCGCCCGCTGTTTAAAAGAGAGCCGGCACTGTCGAGGCAACGAAATGACCCGTGAATGTAATCTTTGTCTTGGAAAATGTTGGGTGCAATATAGCTATCCGCAAGAGACGCCTGGTGGACGGCTTCAGTTCCGGTCATTCCCGTGTGACCCCACCGTGTGCGGGAAAGAGGTGCTATGCGGTGGCTTCGACATGAAGAATGAAAAGCAACACACAATGAACTACAAAAGCATGAAGGAATAACAGACTAACGACCGACCCTATTTCTTAAACGTATTACTTGGTCCTAACTTAACGTAGACGAACGTAAACATTGCTGAAATCGTTTAGGCAACAAGCACTATACAATTCTCTACAGGTAAAATTAAATAAAACTGCAGCCCAGTTGCAGAGATACCTAAATTTACCGGCTATTACTTTTCGTCAGTTGCATTAGAGTAAGTGGGCAGAAGCATACTAGCCTCATTGACAGGCTGCTACTAGGCCGAGGACCTCCCAGGGCTTTCACTGTGAGAAAGGAAAGACGAAAGAACGCCACTACAAATGAATGACTATGAAAGATCAAGGCCATTCTACTACAAGACCTGGTCAAAGACGATAGCCCCTAAACAAACGCGGAAGCCAGCCAGCTGATCGGTCCGGTCCATTCAAGTTAGAATGTAATAAATCGTTTCAGCGATTCTATGTCGGTGCGGCGCGAACGCGGCTTGCGATAGGTATATCAGCTATATCCACGTGCATTGCTACAGACGATAATTGCCGAAGGTGATGGAATAAGGATGAATTAAATGTTTCATTTTACATAGCTTCTTAGCGTGTCCAAGTCAATTCAAACAGGTGTGGCGTATTAGAAATCGAGGGCTATACCGCCAATATTCACTATGTCGTTATTGGCAAGCGATATGAAAAAGATCCCATGGTTATTTCGAACAAATAAGTCAGCCTTGACTCATTCTATTATATCATTGACATGAAACAGGTCGTACTTACTTAACAAATACATCATAAGAAATAGGATATATAAATCTAGGCGTGATCGATCTGGTCGTCTGATACACTATTAGATCATCAGTCTAACGGAAGCATGTACGCCCCCTGCTTTATTTCGGTTCTTTTTTTAATGACGGAGTGCGCAGACGGTTGACCTGAGCAACTCGTTGCCAACGCAATCAAGCTCTGACCTCCGTGATCGGAAGCAGGCAGTACGTCCTGCGAACCGACAAACACGCCAATAGCTGCGATTGCAACACTGACATGAGCACTGTCCGCGCGTACGTCCGATATTCAAGGAGGACCACCCCAATTATCATGAGTCCCCGCTAAGCTTAGGCTGTCTGACGCCGACGGTGCTGGTATCGTTACTGCTTGCCCGTGCTAAAGGCTACGCGCCAACGCGTTCGTATCAAAACCGATTGGTTGTTACAGTGCTCTACCCAAAACTGGGTTGCGCTCCACGCCTGACCTGCTGTTCGTGGGTCACAGGACGGTTTAGCGCGGGGTGGCCTGAGTGGAACATGCTAGGCCGAGGAACTCTCCGAAATCCCCAGGGAAAAGGACTTGTGATGGGTAGGCTACGTGCGTATACTGGTCAGGATTTTCAACCAGTCAGTTGCGGCTGCGGCTGCGGCTGCGGCACTGCTAGAATTACGAGTAACGTTTTACGAACGTTAGTCGTGACCGGGAACTCGGCGACAGGGAAGACGGGGTCAAATTTAATAATGTGAGGAGCACAAGGGGTCTATATCAGGCATCCGGGCTAAGCTCGAAGGGATCTTAAGGGGCTAGCCGGTGGGGATGACCTACTTTTTGGACACGATGCGCTCGCTGTGCTGTCCGTCCTCCACTAATGCTTGTAACTCGACCCTGTCGAATTCTGTAGAGCACATCAACAATGACTTGAATTTACAATAGAACGCCTGGCTAAAGTGGACAGTAATGCACTGAGCCGACGTCGGCCTCAGCGCGTCTGTGGGCTATATTATTATGCCACTGCGTCCTATAAGCCAATCGAGAAATAAGCAGATATATACTCGTGTAGGCTCCTCTAAACAGTAGAAATCTGCGGCCACCTCCGGTAATTGCGTCGTGATACGGATTGTTTAACGAATCGCGTCGGCTGTACGTAAATAATGTGTGATCAATAACGAGCGATCATCTCTTACTAGAGATCAATTAAAAATAAATAGAGGATAGGTATATCCGCAAGCGAGCTGGGACGAAGCTGAAAGCTCGCACTGAACGCAGAACAGATACTAAGCAGAGTTGGATGCTTACAAGTCAGTGATTGTAAGTCATGCCGATAACATGAGATCGGTGATGGCAGAGCGCTAAGTTTGATCCAGAATTGATGCGCCTTCCATGAGCGTAATTAACGCACGTATGAAATAGAGAACGTGCAGAGTCTCCTCTCTACCCTATTGGAAATGTCACGGAGTACATGACTCAGAAACATACGTCCCAACTGGAATCCAGACAGATCAACGTTAAATTAGTTTGCCTGTCATCATCCTGGTGGATGCACACACATTTTTCGTATATACATGCATATATACCTGTTTAGCTGCCAAGCCTACTATTATGTATTTACACTTTAGGTTTCTAACTACGAGCCAGTCAGGTGGGAATCAGCCAGGTTGCAGCAGTACATCCCTCGCCTTTTCCAAATGATATTATCTAACTCATAAGTATTGAAAAAAGTGACGCTTTCCAGGAAGTATATCGTATCCTGCGCCTCTTCGCGGGTCAGTGTTGCGATCCGTTCATGAAGAAGAATCCGGAGAACATGGACGAAACATGAAAGATATTTTCCTCTACTCGATACCGAGAAAACACTTGATTACTCGTTTATATAGGGTGGCCCACTTAAATGAATACGTTTACGTTCAGCGCGTGTTCGTGGTAGTTAAAAATGTTTCTGGTAAAATGGAAGCTTGCCAATGGATGAAAACCAGAGCAAACTCATTAGACTACGCCAGGTCACCGGTGGTGAATGAGGACGACTTTAATTAAAAAGCAATTATACTATGTGGATAGAAAAAGAAGTCTTCTTAACTTAAGTTAGTCCTAAAATATCATGTAGCAAAAAGAGAACTTGAAAAGCGGACTTGTAATAGATAGGAAACGAAGACATGATATTCAAAGAAAGGTTTTTAATTCTAGGAAATTGTGTGTTTCATTAAATAGCCGCTAGTCCGGTGGCCACACAGGCGTATCCGTTCGCCGACTTCGCGGCGGAAGTGAAGCTTGCGGCGTTATTAAGTAGTTTCGAACGAAATCAGCCTTTGCAGGAAGTCTGTTGTATTGCACAAATGGAGTAAACTCGACAAAACTTCCTAGCCAAAGCTCGTTGTCTGCGCCTCGTACGGTTTCAGTCCACGTGAGTAGCATACTAATCTTCTTTATATGATTATTTTACATCGGCACGGTATATGACTACCGGGATCACAATGGCGGCCGCACAACAAGGTTGGCCGCAGTAGCCTATCCTTATTTCACGAACTAGATATGCGGACCGAACGATCGGCAGTTACGCAAAAGTTTCGCTCGTACTTTTGTAAATTGGCCGTTACCACGGATATGACGCGCCGCCTGCGTGAATGTTACGAGTCGACTTCGTCGAAGTTGATGTCTATCCGTCAAGTTTGCACGTGGAGATATACAAACGGATGCCCTTGGTATTGAGCACAAACAGCCAATGACGTTTAGCGTTGGAAAAGCAAGAAAACAACAACGTTACTACAACTCCGAGCGTGTCTCATTATTGCTAATATTCCAACTACGGATCCTCCTCGTGCGTCCAAGTGTCAACGTGCTACACGCAGAGTAGTGTTTGATAACTGGCCAGAGTTGAACATCGTTTGACTTAAACTCCATCGAACGTTGGTGGAAATTGTTCAGCGAATGATACAATATTCGTATGATTTTTTTTTCTAGATAGTACGCTATGTATAATATATAACTCGATACTGGAGTGAGCCGAGGACTTCGTTGATTAAATTCGAGTGTTTTTTTTCTGTGTGGTCTTTGGGTCTTCACTATTTCATTAGGGCAACGCTGTTGTTCAATGCTTGCCTGACTATAAAGATCAGTAGCTACAAGATGTTATATTAAATCAAGGGAAATCATCTTAATTCTTTATTCGAGCGCTCTACCCCTTTCTAGTCTTAACATGTTTTACATTTAAATACGTGTTCTGTAACCGTGTTGCCCTTCGCATCATGGCTTCTTTTTCTTTCTTTGCTTCTCAATACAGCGCAGCCACTTGAGATATACAAGCTTGCAATAATATTTGGAACCTCACTGCACGGCTGTCCAAAAAGAGCATTTGCCCTAACTTCCTGAAATATCTCTGAAAGTGTCAGGTCAAATGGATGGACATAACACAATATCCTAATCGTCTGGGATCAGACTTATCGCTCTGACAAGAGGTTTGACGTGTCCTTATTATCATCATTCAGTTGACCTTAAGAATTATGTTTGTAAACTATAAAATACGGAGTGAGATTGTCCTAGTGCGTAACGCGGGTTCGGTCAACAGTAGCAAAAAATACACCCGAAAGTGTCGGCTCATACAGATGTTATGCTTTATGAAAAATATCCCCCGAAACAACTGCGAACTATCGGAGCTTGTCCTGTCGTCAGAATACCACATGGTTGAATATTTTCACTAGGTCGTTTATCCTTCTGGTGAGCTATACCATAAAATACCGGAATAATCACGGCCTATCTTTTTAGTTAGTTTCGTTTAAAAGCCTGCGTGACAATTACCGTTGGCAATATTTTATTGCGACGGCCATTGTGGATACGCGAAGTAGTACGTAATCGAATTGCGACACATAGTCTATCGAGAGTAACCCACTTGGTGACCAGGCTTAACCGCGGCAAAAAATCGCGTTTTGTCTCTAGCTGGACATTGTCATATATAAATATGCCTTGACAGAATGCAGGCGCAGGTGGATGACCGACCGTTATGTTAACCTCGGTCGCACGTACGTACTCCCTTCTATTCGTTTACTTAGTTCCATTATTGACGCATTAGTTTTGGCTCTTTGTGTGTCCTGAAATTGTGCACGCATACAACGTAAAGCTATTACGAGCTATACATTGACAGACACTTGAGAAAGCAAAGATCGAAGAAGCACTGTTAGCCGCCGCTGGCATATAGTAACGACGAAACGTTTTCGACCACATTCTGCTATAAGGTTACTTTGGTGATTTCAATGTTTTGCTTTTATTTCTTTTTGTCTTGCCGCTTTTAGTTTTTCTTGCCAATCACCGCTCGCTTTCTACCACTTGCTTTCCTCTGGGTCGGTTGGTTCTGCTTGCAAAGGCTGTTGTTTGCCGACCGAGCACTTAGACCGCGTAAGTGTTCTCTGTAGTGATGACGCTGATGGCGCATCAGCGCCGGGAGCGTTGCAGTCGAGCGGTTGTTAGTTGTTGGAAACATCGCTCAAGTCCTGATAAACGCTACGGTGAAGCAGAATTAAACGTTTAGTTTCTTCCCACTGATGGCTTAGGGCCTCGTGCATTTTCAGCTGGCGAGGCTAAATGGGATTTTGTCAAGCAAAAAAAGAGCATATTATAAGCTACGGTCAGGGACGACCCGCGGAAACCTGTTTAATAAGTTTATTTAACAACAGCATTAACTGTATCAACAACAGACATATGTAACGTAACATTTTCAAGTAAGATTAAAAAACAAGCAGGAAATACTGCTACGTACTTAGTCAGTTCTAGACAA